GAACTGATACAAGGGTTATTATAAAGCAAATTGCCTTACATTGACATTTTCAAACATTTTTTCACAAAACAACATTTTCTTTCACAAATATTTTCAAAAAAACAAATATTTTGTATACATTCTCAACGATGCTAGAATCATTACAAAATTTCCGCACTTAGGCATTTTTAAAATATTTACAAACATACACAAACACAAAACATTTCCAAAAAAGTGAGCTAGCAATTAAGAGCCCGTAGAAAACTACATATGAAAAGGGTGCTAACACCTTCCTTTTTCATAACCTACTCCCCCGAACTCAAGAAAATTCTCAAAGTTCTTTCCTGTTCTTTTCACCCTTTCCTTTATTGGATAAAATAAAAGTCGGTGGCGACTCTTACTATATGCAACACTTGCGATAAAATGCAAACCCAAAAGTCAGTTCTCCCACTGTATTACAAATAGGTTATTTAGAATCATTTAAATTCAGTAGGTTGAAGTATAACTTGTAAAATGTGGTTGTTTGGGTGTGAAAATAAAGTTTTTGGGTGACTTAGAGGAAGAAACCTCAACTGCTCGAAAATGGCAGTCATAGGTGTTTTCGGATGTGCTTATCTGAAAACCCCTATGAGTAGTTTCAGATAAGAACATCCAAAATTATGCTTGAGCTGATATTTTTTTAAATTTATTTTCAAACTTGTTCTTTCCTTTTGAGTAATGATTATTGTTTTTCCAGGAAAATAGTTGAGAACCCAAACAACATATTGAAACTTGGCAGACCAAGTCAGACTGCCTCTGCTCGGCGTGAGAGAGCTAAGCAGATTACTAGGGGTAACATGGGAGGAAGTGGAGGGAGCATCCACTTCTGCTTCGAGGAGTCGATTGTCTCATGTGTCGTCGTCTCGGGATGTTGAGTAAGAACCCGAAGACGTTGATGTTCCGGCACCTGAGGAGGTTGATGTTCAGACATGTGCTGCCCATGATACACAGGCAAATCCGGAGTATCCATGAGGATCCTCTAACACCTCACTCTTGATATATTACAATGATCATGTCGCTCGACATGTTTGGGATAGAGAGATATATTTTTATTACACTTTTTCATTTAAATGATTTACGCACAAATATGTGAACGACTAACATTGATATTAATATTTATCTTTACATGAACGGTTGCCCATAAAGTCTGTGAACTATGAGCGGAAAATATTTGATCTACATCATCCTAATGAGGATTGATTCATGGAGACCATTATCGTAGAGGGGATGGTTAGGGAGGCATCGAGTGTGGTGGGATACAAGAGACAAAAGAGGGGTCATGGGGTTAGTATTATGCATACACAGCAGACTATGTATTTTTTTATTTACCGATGTAATCATTTTACATTTTGTACTTTCTGAATAATTTATGTATTATTTTTCGGTTTTTCTGAACAATCATTGTTATGTTCGCATCGTTTTCCGTTTGCGTGATTATTAACGTTTTAACCAAATTACATATCAAATCTTTGTATTTATTACGTACTGATATTTATGTTTTTTTTTTAAATGCCACAAACAAATCTCTTATGTCTAGTGTTTCGAATATACATATTCGAAACACCTATTTTCACGTCTTTAGGATGCTTTCAAATATGTATTTTCAAAATAATTTTTTTAAATATTTTTATGGTGCATTCAGATATGCATATCCAAATGGTAAATTTGAGTTTCCTTAAATTTAGTTCATCCCATAATAGTGTATTAAGAAATACATATGCAAGAGTAATACATGAAGGCCACATATGTACACCAAATATGAGTATGTACGCCCCTGTGAATTTCAGGCCAGCATACATGCGCCAAATGCCAACATATATACGTCTTCTTGTTTATGGCAACACCATACGTACAACCATATCTGAGTACATATGCCGAATTTGGGCTATTTAAAGGAAATAGTTATCTTTCATTAGAGGTTTTGAATTTTGATGGCAAAAGAGACCATTGGAGCTGGAAAAACACCTTAGAGGTTTGGAGAAGACAATGTTCAATGAATTTTTGGGTTGAAGATTGTCAATTAGTTCTATATATATATATATATATATATATATATATATATATATATATATATATATATATATATATATATATATATATATATATATATATATATATATATATAATCTATTTACCTTGTTAAATTTGGGTTCTTAAAATCATTAGTAGCTAAACTTATTAGTGTTAGAGATGACATCCATATTTGAATTACCTTGTACTCAGAATTAATTATCCAATTGAAATTTTTTTATTCAATTGAGTCATTTAACAAAAGTAATCAAAATATTTTGTTCAACTAAGTCATGAAATTAAAGTTCAATAATATTAGCGAACTTTGAGTTCGACATTAGGTAGCTTTACTATTTTTTAAACTTGCAACAATTTAATACTTTCTAATAAAATGAGAAATGATAAGTTGACAACTTGTATTTGACACCAACACCGTACTTTTGTACATACAATACATACATTCTATTTTTTTAATAATTTATATTGTCTTGATTTATGTACAAGAGTTTATGGCTTTATAAATTTCTACGGTGTACGCTCTTGTACATAATTTTGAGGGCTTAGAGCATGATTATAAGTGTTCTTTGAGAGTTCCTATATATTTATTAAATAAATTGTGTTAATAATAAATAAATATTTTATTTGTTTTCACGTTCTTGAACTAAAGCACGTCCTCATACTAAAGTACGCTTCTTAAATTTTATTTGGTCTTTTTATTTATTTTTTCCTCAAAAATTGTTAAGAAAAGATGGATTATGGGGTATATTGTGGGGTTTAGTGGAACCTATTTTAAAGTTTTTAATAAATTATATAAATATTTAGAAAATTTAAATGAGTTTTTAAATAATTTAAAAGTATAAAATAATATAAAAAAATTGAATGAGTTCTATTTAAATAATGTAAATGGATACGATGAATATGAATGCTCTAAACTTGCGGTTCTACATTTGAAATCGTTGTCAAATGTGAGAACGTTTCTACACTCCAATTAAGTGGGTCATGATAATAAATTAATAAATAAAATTGCAAGAATGCAGTTGATTTGTTTTAAATGTGAGACTCATTTTAGATTTTTTGACGAGTTACATGGATATTTGAGAATTATAGATGAATTGTTTAAAAAATTAAGAAGTGTGAAATAATATAAAAAATTATGCAGATCTCATTTAAAGAATCTAAATGGATATGATGGATATGTATGCTCTTATTTAAGGTTTAAATTGATATCACTCTACGTCATAGCTTTGGAGAACCTATATAATTATTATTCTCTATTAGCATTTAAAGATGATACATTTGGTCAACAGTCAACAAGTTAGAAACTATAGAAACGGTCGGTATGGAAACTCAACCGATTTGCTCGGTCCCTTTTGAAAACTTCAAAAAGTGCTGTATAATAGAAATTCTTAATCTATTTTGATTTAGTTTGGCTTAATTCTAATTTTGATTTCTTATTAATCTTTTTTTAGATTTTAATCTTACTATTTTAAAATTTGAAATTTTAATCTATTTATTTTAGTTTTTTAAAAGACCTTAGTTTCTCAAATTTAAAAGTAATTTTTAATGATATAAAACTGAAATTGATGACATGTTTAACATAAATTTTAAACAAAAATATATATTTTTAAATATTTCAGTACTGAATTAACACTGACATGTCATCAATGTGAATGTCATATCATTAAAATTTATATTCGGAGTTCACATTAATAATATGTTTAATATAAATCTTAAATAAAAATAATTTTTTTGAATAATTCACTGGTGAACTGACATTGACATGTTATCAATGTGAGCGACATCTCATTAAAAATCATTTTCGAATTTGTCGAAAAACTAAAATTCTCAAAAAAACTAAAATAAAGTAACTAAAATTCTAAATTTTAAAATGGAGAAACCAAAATCTAAAAAATTTAGTAACAACACCTCTTTAAAATAATTTGTTTATAATTCATTTTAATTTTTAATTCCTTCATTTAAAAAATGAGGTTTTTGATCTTTCAACTTCAAGTTTTTTGTCCTCCTCCATTTTTATATAAATATCAGTGATGATTAGAACAAAAAAAATATTTTTAATAATAATATGGCAATAATGATTAGAAAAAATTAATTAATATTTTTAGTTAACAAATTAATTATTATTAATAATTTCAATTATGTTTTTATGAAAATTAATCAATCAAAATTTTGGTGTTACATTTTTGGACCATATTCATAATATCTTTTGAATTCTAAAGTCATTGTATGAATAACCATTATAAACACTAAACTTTTTTCTAAATAAAACTATGTGGGATATGCACATTCACCACTAATATACATTCTTGTTGACCAAATAGCAGGACTTGGTAAAATTGCCCTTCGCTAACTCCATTTCTGTAAGTACACCTTTGAGTTAGAAAGTTATTATAAAATCAAACATAAATGAACTTGAACACTAAACATAAGTTTAAGAATGGTGTTTTTCCTATAATCCATTTCAAATCTCTGCAAATATTACCACTGATTTGTATTCTCATGTCTTGCTTAGAATTGTGTACCTGAACCACTCCTAGTATGTCATTTGAGTTCTTGACCCTAGGTTCTCTAGTTACTTTATTAAAAAATAAGCCATCATTTCAATTGAATGCTTGTTACCTACTGTAAAATTTCAGTTGCAAGCCAAACTATAAGGGTTGGTCATTTCACTTGGTTTATGCAAAAATACTGTCATAATTCCTTAAGTAGACAAATTCGTATGACACCACAATATCTCATAATCACAATACATAATATAGTCGAAACAATCAACACGCCAGGAAGGAAGCTGATATCCACAACAGAGATATCCCGATATACTCGACCACGACAAACAATATAACTTGTGCAAATACTTTACAAAGAAACAGTCTGGAACAAACAATATATATTATGTTGAAAAGTTAGGACTTCAAATCTTCAAACACTGTTCTGCCATTCAATATGCAAAGCACCTAAGTAGGCCTAACTTCTATTCCTTCAACAATGAGACCTCTCTTCCAATTACCACCCGTCTCCAAAACCTTCATATGGACTTCTTCATTCTCTATGCCTGAATTGAAGAACTCCCCCATCTCAATCTCCAACCACCCATCACTTCTCATATAAGGATATTGCAATCCTACTACTCTGTTGTGAGGCCTACCTACCACAACAGGATCCAAACAGACATTTTTAGTACTACTATGTCCACCTTCGACAAAAACTGATAGCTCTATGGGACGGTTCTGAAATCCATGGGGATCAACCATCTTGAACACAACATAAGCAGCATACTCCGTATTTGGGGACAATGCAATGGTGTTAATCGTACCATGAATATCAAACCAACATACATCAAGAAGCTCAGCGACTTCAGGGAACCTGTCCAAAAGTAGTACAAAGTTGCAAAGGTTAAAATATCAGAACTGAGAGAAAAGTCGAAAGTGATTCATTACATGTTTGTTAACTAAAACTTGGAGGTTGTTACCAAGCTGAAACTCATAATGACTGTTGCTTAAGTTATATACACCCTATTATAGGAAATCTCACATTCATGTTCTCCCTCATATAGAGGACATCCACTTTTCGACCTGCCTCACTTTCTCATGATAAGTGTGGAACGTGGATATAAGCAAAATATAAACAACTGTGTCTGTGATGTGAATCCCAGATAGTGTCACGTAGCACCGACCCCATAAAAAGTTATAGTGGTATAGCAGATAACAGGATAGACTCTATCGCAAAATTGAAATGCTAAACCGGATTTCGTATCAGATAGCCAAAATTCCGATACGCAAAACCGGTATATCGGCGCTATACCAGATATTTAGGCGCTAATAGCCTCCACAAAGGAACGTCTGCAGTAGATTTTTTGAAAATTCATGACAAATGTAAAATCACAGAGAAAAAATGGTCACATGTAGTGCATCTTCTAATAGGCCCTCAAGTGCAAGGATGAAGTAATCCTAGCCAGGTGTGCACTTCAAGATGTGTAGTAATACCAAGGATTACTATAGGAACTGCACCTTTAGTTGTAAGGTAACAAACAAATTAGGCAGAGATTTTAAAATTTTGGTAAAACAATGCATTGAAAGATAAATAGGATTGGTTGTCTCAACAGTTAGGATCAAAAACGGAAAATATGCAGATGATGAAGGATCACGGTGCTTCAAGCTGAACATGGAGGAACAGACTCTAAATTCTAAGACAGGAGGACATTAGAAACTTCTCCTAGCATTGTTATGAAATGGCTTGTACTTACAAATGTTGAGTGTGACGGATCGATTCACAAATACAGTCAGCGAACGCAAAAACGGCCGCGACAAAACGGTTTCTGCAAGTGCCGATACCGATTCAGTTATCACTGTTTTTATATTAAAGAACAAATTAGGGTTAACTTACAGTGCAACAACCGGAATCAGTGCCGTGACACCTCGAAAGACCGAAATGGCAGGACCATTTTTTAAAACCATGAGAAAAAACAAATAGAGAAGTAAAGTGGTAGTTAACCTGGAATCAGGCAAATGAATCCATTTCCAATATTGGTCATGATCACTCCAAATTATAGTAAGAGATCGAGCAGCAAGCATGTAACAAAATTTTCCAGTCTTTGTATCCAATTGAACGCTCTGCATTTCAACTTACCGAATAGCTATTAGCATTATATTCCATTAGTGTAGACTAAACGTTTTACAGAATTGATAATTGATAGCTTTTTTCACAACAAATGAATACCTTGTGACCATTATCGATGATGATAGGACGATCGGAGAGAGCTAGATAGAGAGCTTTCTTGGTAGGAGCGTTGGCGAGTGAAGGAGACTGTGAGATGAGAGAGTCTATGAAATTGGAATCGGAAGGGAGAAATTGATTCCAGACCGCATCGGATTCGGCCGCAGAACGGAATGGCTTGGAAATGACGGAGAATCTGCCGGCGTCGACGGGAGTAGTACGAGACAGTATGGTGGCGATGCATCCTTCCGGCAACTCCTGAAATTCGGTCATTCTGATTTTTGGCCAAGTGACGATAAACAAGGAGAACTAAATCTAATTCTGTTTTACGGATTTGTTTGGATCCAAGGAATAAGATATGGAATAGAATGATATTCTTGTTTGGTATTAATTCTATTTCATTCCATTAGTTATTTCATATTCCTTTCTTTTTTATTCGACCGACCTTATGTTCCATAAGCGGCTACAGAGTTCGGCCTCCTAAAAAGAGGTGAGACCTATCTCGTACTATATGCTCCTAGGGGCAACATGCTTTAGGCAAAAGTTTCACTCTTATTTCTAATAAAATCGAGATATACATAGTCACTTAAACACAAGACTCACTCGTAGAGAAGAGAGGCTTTAGGCAAAGGTCTTGACCTTAACTCTAAAAAATTTATGATATACATAGTCTCTCAAGCATGGTTTCGTAGGGGTGAGATGCTTTAAGTGAATGTCCCGTTTTTATCTCTATTAAACTCAAAATGTATACAGTATTTTAAATACAGTGTTTTCAAGATTTAAAATAAATTCTTCTCAAGACAAAATAAAGAACACAAGAACAAAAATAAATGACACAAATATTTTTATCCTGGTTCACTGGTAAGAAAGTTAATTCAATCCACCCGCCAAAGTGATTTTGCCTTCTCAAACAAGGACTTAATCTACTATAATCGAACTGATTACAAACACAACAAAGACTAATTGTCAATGTTGCAAACCACAAAGACTACTCGTCAATTTCTTCTTGAGAAATTTTGACTAACACTTAGTCTCTTAAAGAGCAATCAACTTAAGAGTTGAAATACAAAGAGTATTGATCTTACCTGTTGATTAGAACCTGGAATTGGGATGAACTGATGACATTTGTTTGATTGGAATTTGTGGAGAGGAGGGGGTGTACCTACAAGGTACTCCGACGATCTAGTAAGAAAGAGTGCAAAGAGATACAAGAAAGAGATTAGGATTTTATGGATGAATATTTGATACTTGACCCTCACAAGTGTGAGGGTTTATATAATGCCTCAGACGCATAGTCATTGACCCCTATTTTTGGGCCTAGATATGCGGGTCCGCAAAAATAGATAACTGTCAGGACTTGGTCAAAACGGACAGTCGTGCCCGTAACTAGCCATTGCATCGAGCAAGGATGAGATTATAGGCAGAAGCATTTATGAGAGTTTCCTGGGCATCTGCTCTTCGTGTGTCGAACAGACTGGGAGGTAACTGCCCGCACAGGCAGGTGTATGTTTCAGGCATTATTGGTCGTGTCTGTTAAACCCCAAAATTTGCCCTCTCATTTTGCTCAATACATGTCCATAGAGATCTTCAATTTACTCGAGTTTGCCCAAGAGTTGACCAGACAAACTCTCTCCTAAGGCAGTGTACCTCAAATTAGGGTTTCCATGTTCATCAAGATAGGTGGACTCCAAGGACCTCATATACTCTCCATGGTCTTAATATATTCTCAAGACCATACATGTCAAGTTTCATGCCTTACACAAGAAGTTTGCTCAGTCAATTGCTCAGATGCTTGAGAATCGACTGTATTAGGTCAAAAGTCAATTGTGACCCACATACAGTCAAACTTCAAGATTTTTGGTTAACATTAACATTTTGAAGTTACTTTCATAATTCGATCAAGGTTTGATCATGATTCCCCAAGGAATGCTCCAAATTCATCAAAACCCAAAAGTTGCTAAATTAGGGTTTCTCAGTAAAAGTTAACCAAACTTTGACCAAGCATAACTTCCACATGCTTCATTATAAATTTTCCATCCAAAGATAATTTTGAAGAGGATGCAATTCTCTACAATTCATCTTCATCCCACAAGTTCAAAAAATGCACTCATGAAAAGATAGGAATTTCTACATTATGGGTCCTTTTGAAAAGTCAACAAAAACACCTTTTGGGTCAAAGCTTCTTACATGAACATGGAAGACTCAATTGAGATAAGACTAAATGGGTTGCTTATAGGACATCTTAATATTTCTAAAAAGTCCAAGAACACTCCTCTAGGGTTAAAATTGGAGGAGATATGCCTTGACAAAGTTGACCTTTTTGCAAAATTGTCAAAAGTCAAATGTGCTCAAAAATGCATTTTTTGCTAAATGGGCCTAACTTTTTATGCTTGCACCTCACTTATAATGTGGTCCACGACTAAAATATTCACTCACACATTATTTGCTTCATTTTTAAATTTATTTTGATTTTTTATTAATTAAAAATTGAATTAAATCAAATAATTGATGAATAATAGCAAAGATATAATTTGACTTGGTTTTTGGACAGGTTGGCAATCAAAATATGCTGAATTATCAAGGCCAAAACGAATCAAGCATAATTGGTACAAGAAAGGGATGATTTGGCTCAAAATAGCAAGTTTGCATATGGCTAAAGAATCAAATCAAATCTCATCAAAACTTCAAGATCCAATCTGTTTTGCAACCCTAATTCATTCCTAGATATATAATGGACAAGAACAAAGCAAAAAATAAGGTTTGGCAGTCGATAAAACACCAAACAAAATTAAAAAAAAGTGACAAAAAGTGCTGGATCATTTTTGAACTTAGAGATCAATTCAAGCCATTCCAATGCTTCCAATCATTTCTTGGACCTTCCCAGAAGCTAATACAATCAGTTGCACGCATTCTCATGCCCAGAATCTCCCCTAGCATTCATACAGTTTGCCCTTTATTTCAAAATCGATTACTGTATTTCTTGCATCATTAGCATGTTTAAGTTATATATTTGTGATCCTCGTCGTGTTTGCAAGCTAACTGAATATAATTGCATTTTTGAAGCCTATATGTGCCTTTGTCATTGTTAGGGTTTGTGTGTGCAGTTTAGGGGTTTGTTCTACAGGTTAAATTGGGCAAAAAGAAGGGTACCATGATGTTCACAAGATCAAAACGAGTTGATCTATAAAGTTAGATTTCATTTATCTTGCGTTTTGTGAATTCTTGAGTTTTACAGGTTTGTAGCTACAGACCTTTGTCCGTAGGTAAAGGTACAAGCACCTAAGGCGATGGAGAAAGGTAGAAGAAGGTTAGGTGTCAGTCAGCCATTCGCCCACTCAAACCAGCGCGCGCGTTTTTGTTTTTTTCCCACTAACCACTTTGTTTCATATATTATATTTTGTTTTCATTATAATAACAACTAAACATGATAGCCTAGTGGTTGGGCGTGTTGGTGGTGAGTATGAGGACCTGGGTTCGATCCCAGGTCCCAACAATTTTCTTTGTTTTATTTTCCCTTTACAAATCAGGTACTTCATTCTCTCAAAGGGCCTACCGTGCACTTCCAATAGCCAACCAGTGGATCCATTGCTAGCCAAATCCAACGCTCCAGCAGTGAGGGACCATGATGCACCCTAAGGTCAACGCTACAAGGAACCCAATGCTGACCGAGCTTGGAGTGTTTTTGGGCTTGAAGATTTCAGATTGACACCCCCCATTTGCTAGCATACATGCCCAATTTGCATTTTCTTTTCTATTTTCTTTTTAAATTTCTTAAGTTAATTTCTTTTATTTGTTTTAATTAATTAACCCAAAAATCATTTATTTTTTTAAAATCAAAAAATCACAACAAACTACAAAAATCTTTTTTTAATAAAATATTTTATTTCTTAATTAATTTAATTTAATTAACTTAGGGCAATTTAATCTCTTTTTATAATTAAAAATAATTAGACTTAGGATTTGAATTGTACATAATTTATTTAATTTTCTTTAAAATACACCAAAATCATTTTTTTCATTAAAATATTTATTTTAATTAATTAGGTTAATTAGGTTAACTTAAATACTTTTCTTTTTCATAATTAAAAAATAATTAGAAATTAGTGTTTTATTTAAATTGTAATTTCATTGTTTTCTCCAATAAAAAACGTACAAAAATCTTTTTTTTCTTTCAATTAGGGTTTAAGTTATTTTTTCAATTTCTCCTCGTATTTAATTTGCCGCGCGCATTTTAATTTGTTTTATTATTATTGTAACTGTTTCGAGTTTGTAATAGTTTTAATTAGGGTTTTAAACTTCCGCACTTTTATTTCCCGTCAAGACAATTATGTAACTGTCAAAGCCTTGTAATAGCTAGGTTTATTTTTTCGCATTTTAAATTCCCGCAAATATTTAACTGTCTAGATGTATGCTAATAGGATTGCATGGCAAGAATATCTGAAATTAAAACGGTAGATCACCTAATGTGCAAAGATTAAATAACTAAAACAAACCATATGCACATATTCACTCATAGGGTTTACCTCACTTCGGTTGCCTTCGGTAAACAATCATTAAGCATAGGAGATTTTAGTGGTTGCCCTCTGTTGTACCCCAAAATTTGCCCTCCCATATTCTCCAAGAAATTGCCAAGTCAAGCTGCAAAATTCCCCAAGGGTTGCACAGGGCAAAGGTCTCCTATACAGTCAAAACTAGGGTTTGTGTTCTGATCAAGAAAATGAAGTTTTCAAAGGTACAATCAAGTCTCACATGCCTATAAAGATGGTCAAGCATCCTCATATCAAGTTTCAAGACATTCAGCTCAAAATTGCACAGTCAAAACCCTAATTGCACTACAGTCAACTATAGGGGCAAAATGGTCATTTGACAGTCAAAAGTTCAAATTTTTGGTCAACATATCATTTTGAAGCCACAAACATCATTTGATCAATGCTTGATCATGATTCTCAAAATTTGGCTCAGAAATCATCAAGATGCAAAAGTTTCCTTATTTGGACAGTTGAAAAAGTCAACTGAAATTGACCAGGGCATAACTTTCACATGGATTATCAGAAAAATTCCATCCAAAGCTCATTTTGAAGAGAAAGACATTTCCTACAACTCATCTTCATACTTCAAGTCCAAGAAATGCTCTCACAAAAAGTTATCAATTTCAACATTATAGGTCATTTTCAAAAGTCAACAAAAAGGGACTTTAAGTCAAAGGCCATAACTTGAGATTGGTAAATCAAAATGACATGGGACCAAATGCATTGGTTAGAGGACTCAAAGAC